TATGTGTGTGTATGTGTGTGTATGTGTGTGTATGTGTGTGTGTGTGTGTATGTGTGTGTGTGTGTGTGTGTGTACTCCTATATGTGTGTGTAAGTGCGTACATGTTTGTGTGTGTGTATGTGCGCGCATGTGTGTGTGTGTGCGTGTGTGTGTGCGTATGTATGTTTGTTTGTGTGTATGTGGGCGCGTCAGCGCACATGTGCGCCCGTGTGCGTGTGTATGAGAGCTTACTTTTGCTCTACAGATTCAACACACAGGGATCAATCTCACAACTTTAGAATCGAGCGCACATTTCCAAATCCCACACCTAATCGGTTTACAAGAACTTCCCAAGGATAGTGACACATTTACTAATAGAGTTGTCTTTAACCTAAATGTGTCACGACGCGATAGTATCAGGCTCTCATCAATTTTTGTGCGTGTAGAGTTATTGGTATCATCTCAAAGCTTGTTCATTTGTCTTGCTTTGGATGAAAAAAAATGCCCATTTGTCTTGAATTCTAAAAGTCGAGATATTTGTGAATGAAGGAGGTGGGGGTCTCCTGGTTTCAGAGGTAAAATTAGTGAAAAAATGGCCGCCAAATACGAGTTATTTCCTTTGCGTGAGAGTCTGTGGACAATTAAAATTTACATTTGTTGTGGCTTTAATCAATGTTTTTCAGTAAAATCCACACAGAAATGTGTTCTTTAATAAGCATGAAAGCCGTGGAGCCAAAAAGCAAAAATTCGATAAAAATTCACAAACCTGCGGAAATATGCCAGTCTCTTCACTTTGGTTATTTTGACGAGCGCCTGATTTCACCTGCCTCACAAATTCCCGATTTTCAGCCGTGTTTCTTTAAAAAAAATAACAACCTTGTTATTTTTCCAAAAAGATAGTGTTGATAGGGGCGTTAAACCTATATCATTTCACCATTTTTTTTTCTCAAAAAGTTACAACAGGCTCCACTATGGTAACGTTGGCCAAGCCTTTACCTTGCTCTTTCCCTGGCAGATTCGAAAGCTTCGTTGTTCGACTTTTTGAAAGTTTGAGACCGGAAGCTGATCTGCATATCCTCTGGGACGACTCGGTTGATCAGACTGGGGATAGATTGAAATAAAATATTAAATATATAGATCTAGGTCTAATCAATTCTTTTTTTTCGGAGAGAATTCAAGTTTTTGCTCTGATAAAATTGGCATAATCTGATGTAGATGATTGAATCATCATAATGTGATGTCCACGTCATCATTGGTTATGCTGTGATAGTATGGATGGCGTTTGTGGTGTAGCAGTCAGGGGTTTCGCCGTCACACGCACAAGACCTGAGTTCGATTCCAGTTTGGGAACCATTCTTTTTAAATATTTTGTTTTTTTCTGGGGGACGTTGTATCCGTCCTAGCCTGGTTTAGCCGCAACAGACAGATTCCGAGTCCGACCCCCAAAAGATTTGAATTGTGTCGGTAGAGGCGTAAAACACTAAAATGGGCACCCCATTACGCAAGTTTACGCAGAACCCAACAGCGGATGCCCGTTGTTCAAAGGATTGGATCCAGTCCATAACACTGGGTGCCCACTACGACTGGATCGGGCTGATCGCGCGACTCGATCGCCTTAAACTGAAAACAAACGCGTTTGATTTTGAGGCGATCGAGTCGGGCGATCGGCCCGATAGGTCGATCCCATCCGTAGTGGGCACCGTATAACAGTGACACCGGTGCACACTATATCAAAGTCACCTCTGATCCACTCCACCAAATTAATTGATCCCTGAAGTTCTTTAGGGCCTATGGCGTTCTGCGTACAAACAAAATATCTTACCCCGCAATGCGTAGTAGACTTCTGATTGGTTGTTTTCATCACATTATTTTAATGCACCAGACGAATGAAATGGTGCTCCAGAAAATCAAAGTTTAAGATGTTCGTCTTTGGAGGATTTGATGAAATTAGACAAAAGTTATTGGAGGAAATCTGGCCACTCTCAAACGGTTTCATATGAAGATCTAACGAAACTTTCCTGCAATGTGCAATACTTCACTCTCTCTCTCTCTCTCTCTCTCTCTCTCTCTCTCTCTCTCTC